AGTTACAGGAAGGACGAGTGTGCCAGTGGATTATGTATGAACACCTGGCTTTGACACCCTTCTCACTAGCAATTACTGATCAAACTTATCACAGCGATTAGTACAACCATAAAACATCTTTAGCTTAGTTCTGTATCAGCTCTATCAGTGTTTCTATCTTTTAAATGCAATGTTAGATTTAAAAACGTCAGTAAGTTTCACATAGAACTCAATAGGACAGGATTTTGCATGCCAGGAACTGCTCAGGCAGCAAAAGCAGAGCCAAGCAGAGCTCCTTAAAGGGAAAGCATGGGGAATATTCAACATAATGAGAATAAATGGTGCCCCGCCTCAGGCAGTTAATGGTGAGGAAGCATCTCTACCCTGATTCCTTTAACATTAAAAGAGAAGAAAATGGAAAGTAACTCCATTACACAGCATGAAGGTGGAGGGTGTTCCTATCAGAACAAAATGTCAACAAGAAAATGTCTTTTGTGCCCGGACCAGAGCTGGGGATTCTAGACCTGCAGTGAGCTCAAGGGACATTCATCCAGGAAGTGTCAAACGAGCTTACCTCACTGGGTCTCAGTTTCCCCATCTGTAAAACGAGCAGATTCCAACCCTTCCAACTCAAATGCCATGTGACTACGTGTTTTCTCATAGCAAAAGTGAAAATGCAACTGCAGAAGACCCACTATGACAACTGGTGGGTCACGTTCTGTGCCCGGCGTTATGCATATGCACCACTTTGCACCGTCACCTTAGAAGGCAGGTACCATTCCATCTACAAACAGGAAAACTAGAGCATAGAGAGGTGAAACCATCTGCCCGAGGTCACAGAGATGGAAAGGGACAAAGCCCGGATGCCAGAGCAAACAGATGCTCTTCACCACCACTGTCTCTGCCTGTGACTCAGGAGAGGACAAGCTACTGTGCATATAGAGACACATGCACTGTAACACCCACGGGAAGCCCCCGAAGTCCTTCGTTGCTAGCCCTCCACATTGCAACCACCTTTCCTGCAGAAAATTACAGTTTCTCCTTGTCTTTTGTTTATACTGTGGTCAAATTATAAATAAAATGACTAGTGAATCACTGGTTGCAATTTACAAATACCTGCCAAGTAAGATTTTCCTGCATGTATACAAATGGTCAAAACGATGCATGTATGTTTTGCTACCTTTACTCCAGTTCCTAAAAACACACACTGTTCCCCTCCACCCCCAGAATTACAGGACCAGAGGAAGTGTGCACAGAATTTCCTGCTCCTTCGAGGAGTTATCAGGCATTTTTACCTGCCTTCTCCAGTCCTCCACCCCCCAGGAATGGGGTGAAAGATTGACTTTTTCCCACTGACATCCTTCCACCCACTGGGGGCACTGAAGTATCGTCTGGGATAAAACAGCCAATTTCACCAAACAATGATTGGGTTGGTTTGTTTGTTTTGGAAGAATTAGGATCCTGTATATAGAGACAAAAGAAATACTGTGATGTATCTGTCCCTTTCAAAAAGACCTGATGCTGGAAATTCGATTTGGAATGAAAAATACTTATGGTTATTGTTTAAAAAATGTCGCACACCAAATCACAGGAAAAGCAAGAAGGTTGATCACATTTTCAGTCAAAATCATATATGCTTGTTTTATGTATTTAAGAAAAGTATATATTTTTATATAGCTTTCAGTATCACACTAAAACAATCTATTTTATGCCAACCTCTGACTATCTAAAACTTACAGGAATAAAATTTTTCCATTCCAGCTGAAATATTGTCTATTTCTAACCATAATTTTATCCAAAATAAACCTTGCCTAAGCAGGCTGGTATTTTGACAAACTAAAAAAAAATGTATGTCAACCTTTCCTAATAATGAAAGGCAAATTTTGAGGAAAGCTGTCTGATTTTGGGCATAATAAAGGTTTAATTCCGAGAAAGAATTGTCATGCATTTACTAATGAGAACCAGTCCTGGGAAATGAAGGGACATCATAAGACTCAGAACTTAAAGTTTGGATCCATTAGTTTCCAGTTTCCAACGCAGAGGGCAAAATTTATTTTGCTCATCAGGCCCATCATTAAAATTTTTCATGGCAAGCAACAGAAAATATTTTCATGTTATGAAGCAGAATATAAAATTCTAGACACGCTATCATGGATGGGTTCTGTTTACTTTGTTTCATGTCTAGATAATTCTTAACAATTATGGGGTTAAACCTATTTCATAGCTTTTTATGTAGAAAACAGTAAAGCAAGATAGTGATGTTTTAATTCAGAATTTATTTTACATTATAATAATACTTTGAGGATCACTTTGAATTCATGATCGATGATGTAGAATCACGGATTGACCACAGATTGAAATTCAGTTTCTTTTGAATAACGTCAATCAGAGAAATGTGAAGTAGAGACAAAGCTCACTTTTGTCTTTTTAATAGATATTTCCAATCACTTCATACAAAGGCAATGACATCACTTGCTTTTGGATGATGTGAAGACCATGATGTGATCCAAATATTCTCAGAGATGATGGGTGTACATTAAGAGAGCTGCCAGACTTTCTCTACTACAAGAACTGATGGGAGCCTAATGGAAATCAAAAATCAGGCAGATTCATGGGAAAGAAGGAATCTGTCCAAGATTTCAGGCTGCAAAAATAGATGTGCCAAGCTCCTGAATTACATCAGAGCCTAGCTATTCTAGTAAAGTGCTGGAAGGTGGAAACCTGGGCTGGCCCCAAGCAGCTGTTTCCATCTCCCAAGGTAGATGGGTGGGAAGCCAGGCTCTGGTCAGCCTGAGAAGTGAGCTCACCACTCTCCACGTAAGCACCGCTGTGTTAACCCCACCCCATCTTGTAATGTCCCTACCCCAACCATCTTTGACTATCTGGATGCAGACCAATCTGGGGCAGTGGAACTGCTATTGGTGACATTACTAAAAACGGAAGAGAAATGAACTGTCGGGAGCTCAGGACTGCCCCAGTCCTTCCTAAGGTCGTTTCTGAGGATGTGCCCATTTTTCGCAGGCATTTCCCAATTCCCACTTGGCCCTGCAGCCCCAGACCCCATCTGCAGGTAGCCTCTCCACCTCCCCGATTCTGGCATGTTTCTGCACAGCTCATCACCTTGAAGGATTTACAAGTCAGTCAGTCCGCGGACCAGGTACAATGAAGAACAGGATATCAGCCCAGGCTACAGCCAGAGCACAGGAGTGCCCGCTTTGTGCTTAAAACGATTTAGCTGAATCACAGCAAGTGTGGAAATGATCGACTTATCAAGGAAAAGTGAAGACGCCTGGATAAACTTTAAAAGGCTACCACGCCAGCATTTGCACCACGTGCAATGAAACAAAGTAATTGTGTAAAGAAACACAAAGATCAAGACAAATCCGAGAAGGGTGCTTTCAGCCCAACTCCAGTGACTGACTGAGGCACTCTTGGACATCAATATCAAGGAGGTTAAAGAAATTAGAGGTCCGTGTCATAGCAAACAAAATGGGGTGCTAGGGGAGGTACAACTTCACACTTGTCTTTAAATACATTAATGGCACTATAAATAGGCCATCACCTGCTCCTCCTTTTCCACTTAGAAGAGAACAAGCCACAACTGGTTTGAATTACAGATTCACAGAATCGCCAGCAGCTATGTCCTGGCATAAGAGATTTCCAGAGGAAAACCGTTCTGTTCTCTTTCTGGGAAGTACAGGACCGAAAAGAAGAGGCTTTTGGAGACTGCTTGTCAGTGAGCCTGAGCAGAAGTCTCTCTCCAAGTCCTTTTTGGTCGTAAAAGTGGCAAAGAGAAATGAAGATGCCCATCCGGGGAGCACGTGAGGCTGGTTACCACAGTGAGAGGTCTGCCCTGAACGCACAACCCAGCACACACAGGGTCCAAAGGTGCTCTCTGCTCTGATGATAAGACCCAGGCTGTATTTGTGGCTTTATGATCTCCCACATTCTCTTCTTAATCCGTACCTCACTGAATTCCAGCAGCAGACAGCACCCCTCCAGCAGGACGAGGGGAAAGAATCCCTTTTAAAGAGCCCCATGGTGATAAGTTTTCCCAGGCATAATGTCTGAGCACCATCTGGCTCAGGATATCAGAAGCAAACTGCCAAACACCAAAGACAGCTATTCTGCACACTTGCTGAAAGAGAAGCAAAACATCCACTTCTTTGCACAGTGGACACGAATATAAGTGCCTATTTGTAGTCTAAGCTAAAAAACGAATCATTCAGCCGGGCATCCCCAAATCAACCGCTGCCCCAAAACATCTCACGGGGTAATCGATGCCTGGCACAAAATGTGCACGTACCTATCACGCTCGGGCGGTGCAAAAGTTTGAACCACACCAACAGAAGGCTCAGTAACAGGAAGTTTACCGCCATCTACAGATTCCCCCTCACTGCTCAAGAAAGCGAGCCAAGGCTTTGCTTGAAAAATACAAACTGGCAAAATTGACATCAGCTGTTGGGGTGCATTGTGTTCTGTTCCTAGTGATGAAATCCACTTTAATAACCTGCGCAAAACAGCACACACGATTAGCCCCCCCTTCTAGAAGCAGGACAGCATCGATGCTGCTTACTTCACTCACAGGATGAAGACACAACAGGTCAACACCCCATCTCTTTCTACGGGACTTAAATGCATACGGATTTAAGGGCAACGAAGTACAAGAATATACTTCTTTCCATTTTCCTCGTCATTAACCACTTTCCCAAGGCGGGTTCTTTACAGTGAAATAACGTCCAATCCAAACTCACAGGGCAGCTCAGGGGCCTGGCGACGGAGCGGGAGGCGCACGGGCACGGAGCCCCATCCGCGCGGATGCGGCGGGCGCCCCGATGGGGGAGACGCACGCCCCGCGGCCCCCCCGGCGCACGCCCGGGGAACTTTATCCGGGGCAGAACCGTCCACGGAAACTTTTCCCGTGCCCGCCGCCCCTGCCCCAACAAGGCCGGCCGCGGGCAGGCGGGAGGGGCGGGGGGAGCCGGGACGCGCGGGGCAGGTCCCGCGGGGAGGCCACTCACCAGGCGCAGCGCGAAGAACACGGCGAGCAGGGCGAGGCAGGCGCCCATGACGAGCAGCAGCAGGAAGACGATGAGCGGGTGCTGCTGGCTCATGCAGTAGTAGGACTCGTACAGCCAGTCCCGGGACCGCCGCGGCCCCGCGCCGCCGCCCGCCTCCTCCGCGCGGTCCCGCAGGTAGCGGCGCCGCCGCATCGCCTCCGGCCACATCGGGGCCGCCCGG